GGTGAGACCTAACTTGGATACTAATTTCTTTTTCGATGTAAATCTATGGGGATTAAATTGTTTGCTGGATTTATTTTCATAAGAAACCAAATAGGAATATTATATTCAGTTTTGATACTTAGCATCCTAATAGTAATTGATAATTCTAAATAAGTTTTGTAACCATCTCAAATCGATTTTTTTAGTAGCATGTAGTAATTCAAAGATTTTTTTAGTTTTTACATTTGGTGTATCTGTCATACTAGCCCTTAAATTAAAACTTTCTGCATCAAAAATAAGTTCTTCATATGTCCTACTCATTTAATCTTCATCAACTATTTCAAAAGTTGTCCAAAAGAATACTTATTTTTGTACTTTGAATATGGACATTTAAATATTCCATTGAACTTAATTGAAGGTTGTTGAGATGCAAATTGAATAAAAGTCTTAACTACTTGCATAAATTTATCTTTCAATCCTCTTCGACCCGATAATAATCTATTATATATCCAATGTCTCTCTTCTTGGATAGTCATTTGGATGTTAAAGCAAACGTTTCCTACATATTTATAAAATAATTTATTAAAAAGATGCGACCTTAAATATCATTTAAATATAATAAAGAAATATTATTTTTGATATTTTTTAACCAAGTCTTCGTAGATCTACATCTACCTTTCTTAATATAAGTAAAATCTTATACCTCTACTTTCCTGACTGGGAAATTGGAAGGTTGCCATTTTATGCGTCCAAACCATCTAAGGTGACTTATCTCTGCAAAACGTAACTTAGTATTATGCTTCTCTTTTAATAAAGCATTGCAGGTCTCACCACCATCTTATAGAATTTTCCCTTAAGTTTGAGGGGGACTTTTCTATCACATAACAACCCTGATGCATTCCTCCACTTTAACCATCCAACTTGATTTATGTTGATAAAATTCCCATCCAATAAATCTAAAATGTGTACTCTTCTTAATGACTTTATTGCCCAAATTCACAATCCCCTCACTAAGTATATTACTACTAAAATTACACTCCATATACCTTTACACTCTAAGGTAGACATCCATAATTTAGGTTTACCTTCAACTCCCTCTCTACTCTTACCAACAAGAATAATGTCATAAGAAAAAAAAAAAAAATATCAGGTTATAACCTCTTGCATATGTCTACTGATAATATCCATGACCAAAGCAAAATAATATGGGCTTAAGGCTTTCTCAAAATTAACATTTAGATTCAACAGTTGATCTTCATAATTTAAGTTTACCTTCAACTCCTTCTTTAGACTTATCAACAAGAATATTATCAACTGCAAAAAAAAAAAAAAATTAAGCTATATCCTCTTGTAAATATTGACTAAGAACATTCATGACTAAGGAAAAAAAAGGAAATGCATGGAGGAGATCACCTTCAGGGAGTTCACAGGTTGGAGTGAGGGCGTTGGTGGTCAGAGCCTACGGACGCGGGTCAGAGGCGAGGCGCTGTAGTTCAGCAGCTAGAGTCCTACAAATGCAACTTGAGCGAGGGCGAGAGACCGTGTCTGGACAAAAATTAATAACATGAAGAAATGAGGAGGAAGGTCTGGCGTGGCCAATTTTAGGTTAATTTTTAGGCGATTTAGTCCGCCGAAAACAAATCACTTACAATCGATGGCCAAATCGTCGGTAACAGTCAACATCAATAGAAAAAAAATAAGCGGTATATTCGGCGGTAAGTTTACTCCAGCATTTTCGATGATTTGGTATTAAGTACCACCGATTTATAGCGGTGATCAAACTACCTTCTTAATTGTCGATAATTCTGGTGGTCAAACAATGAATTTCCTATAGTGGATTATAGTTTAGCACTTTATGTTGAGAAAACTCTATGTTGCGGGCTTAAACAATCACAACTGTATAGATATATAGAGTTTAATATGCAAGCTTTATAAGAAGATCCAACATATAAACAGATAATAAAGAGGGGTGTAAGTGTCATAAGAGACACTAAGATTTTTGTGTGAAAACCCCAAAAATATGAAAAACTATGGGGCATGACCTAGCTAAAAAGAGTCCACTAGTACTGTTTATTGTTAATTACAAATGAGATTCTTTCTCAAGGGAAGGCTTAAACTCAATGCAACAAAAAATATATTATAACAGTCATATTATGTGGTGCCCCAATATATAATTTGGAAGAATTATTTTTTATCTTTTAATTTACAACTAAAGCTATCTAATTTTTTTATCAATTTAAATAATAGCAAAAAAAAAATTATCGATCAAAATATCAGCATATGCATCTCTATTCATTTTCTAAAAATTATGTATATCACTTAAAATCGACGGCCAAACCGTCGGTAACAGTCGATATCTACAGAAAAAAAACTAGCGGTATATCTGGCGGTCAGTTTATCTCCAACATTTTTGGCGATTTGGTATTAAGTACCACCGGTTTATAGCGGTAGTCAAACTACATGCTTAAGTGTCGATAATTATGGCGGTCAAACAACAAATTTCCTATATTGAATCACAGTTTAGCACTTTATGTTGAGAAAGCTCTTTGTTGCAGGCTTAAACATTCACAACGGTAGAGATATATAGAGTTTAATATGCAAGCTTTATAACAAGAGCCAACATATAAACATATAATAGAGAGGGGTGTAAGAATCATAAGAGACTAAGATTTTTATGTGAAAACCCTGAAAATATGAAAAACTATGGGGCATGACCTAGCTAAAAAGAGTCCACTAGTGTTTATTGTTAATTACAAATGAGGTTCTTCCTCAAGGGAAGGCTTAAACTCAATGCAACAAAATATATATTATAACGGTCATATTATGTGATGCCCCAATATATAATTTGAAAGAATTATTTTTTTATCTTTTAATTTACAACTAAAGCTATCTAATTTTTTTTATCAATCTAAATAATAGAAAAAATAAAATTATCAAAATATAAGTATATGCATCTCTATTCATTTTTTAAAAATTATGTACATTACTTAAAATCTATACAATTATATCATAATTACTCTATTTTGAGTATAAAAGAATAGCTAAATAACAAGAATCTAAATAAGAGGGATCCTGATCAATCTCACACTCTAGCTCTCTTGCCATGACTTGAAAATATTTAATCATATATACTGAGCTTAAAAAAGACCAGCAAATCATAAAAAACTATAACCAAATTTAATGTATAATAAATGAGCAATATGCATTTTAGGGGTCAAGTCATAGTAATAGTATTTATATGAACATAAATCAACACAAAATGAATAAAACTTATATATAGTAGTAATAAAATTTAGAACGATACAAAAGCCAATAAATTAATATGGGTGTCAAATTTATAATATAATCATAGAACAAGCATTTCATGAATAAATACCACAAAATATTTGCAATATAGCGTTAAATCTAAACGCTGAAGCGCCTTAAAATGCGTTAATAACCAATATTTACAATATAATATTCATTCCAGCTTTATGTAAACTGAGGCAGCTGACATCGTCAAGAACAGTCGGAAGCCATAAAACGATCGGTTTCTTATGCTGTATCGCCGAGAGATGGCGACGACGTCTAACAGATAGGCAAAACACGAGGATTCGCCATTGGGAGGTCTTAAGTTTCAGCTCGAGAGCTGAAGTGTTAGCTGTCAGGAGAGTGAATGCAGATACTACGATCAATATATTAAATAAATACGCGGTATTAAAAATCTCTTCGCACAAAACAAATCATAAATCTCTTTAAGATCGAATCAATATAGAATTAAGCTAATATCAACCAAGAAAAAAAATGTAAATGCATGGGAAATTAAATTGGTAGTGATTTGAATGGACTGTCGATCTTAAATCTCTTGATTGTGGATTGTTTATTGGACATTTAAATGTCTTAGAGATATCAGAATTCGGCGATCTTAGGCTCGTTGGATTCGTTTCGTCTAGCCGCTCAATTCGACTATAAGCATGTCATGTTTGGAAACCATTTGGCAATCCAAATTATGGTTTAAACCTTCCAAATATGCTTCCAGTGTTTGATTTGGAGTCATTTGGGTTTGGATTGAGTAGAATTTGGTGTCGTTGGGTTTGCATTTTTTATACGTTCAGTTCGATTGTAAGTTTGCTGAAGTTGGAGTTCATATGATCACCGATTTAATTTTTGAAGTTTCCTCCGCCTATGCTTGTAAGACCTATTTAAATAGAACATACAAGCTTTGTATTGGATAACAAAATCACTCCTTGAAACGATTAATTATTATGTGTGAACGTTGAACGTTGTCAGGAGACCAACTAGAATGCGCCACATCACCTCTTCCCTCGGTACTGCGGCTCAGTAACACTGATGTGGCGCATTCTGGTTGGTCTGCGGATGACGTTTTGCATCCGGACTCCGCACATAATAATTTCTTTCTTGAGACACATTCTATGAAAAATTTGTTCATATATTGATTTTTTTAAACAACCCTTGCATTGTTTTAAGACTTTGGGTCAAAATTGAATCGAAAAATTAATAGATCTGATCTCCTTAAAACTTAAATTTAATTCATCATCAATATATTTATTCATCAGTAAATTTCCCTCACCCTATTTTTTTCCTTTATTTCGATGACTTCAGAATTAATTAACAGCTACAGAAGGATTTGTTCTCATCTAAAACCAGTAATTTTGGGAAAAGCCTCCATTCAATCCTTTTCAATTATTTATTGCCCTTGAGCCAGATTTCTTAAAATGTAATTCTAATTCATTTTTGAAGAAAAAAATATCAATAATTATTTTGGAAGAAAAATTATTTAAAAAAAAAATTGACGCAAAATACTTCAGATTAAATTTTATAATATTTAAATATAAATTAAAATTAATAAAATTTAGAATATCATATAGCATAAATTTAAAGCATATCTGCAAATTGGCCAAAGTTCTTCACCATTAAAAACAAATTGTAAGCCAAAAAAATAAAAAAATTTAAAAAAGCTTTCAAAATTTTGACATATACTCTCTCTCTCTCTCTCTCTCTCTCTCTCTCTCTCTCGCTCCATGGAGACGAAGAAATCCTTGAAAATATGCTGCGCAGTGACCTCCATCCTTCTCCTTCTCCTCGTCATCACCCTCCTAATCCTATACTTCACCGTCTTGAAACCAAAGAAACCCGCAGTTGTGGCGACTCCCGTTGGCCTCGACCATATCGCTTTCTCTCTCCGCCCAAACGTTTCTCTTACTTTATCAATCCGCATGAACATTTCCATCAAGAACCCAAACTACGCAGGTTTCAAGTACAAGAACTCCTCTGCTTTCATATACTATGGAGGAGATTTTGTAGGAGAAACTCCCATTGAAGCAGGCATCATCCACGCGCGTTCAATCAAGAATATAAGCACAGTAGTAAATATTATTGCTAATAAGGTGATTGGAAACCCAAAGTTCTTCCCAGATGTGTTTAAGGGATCTTTGAATATGAATTCTGAGATGGGGATGGAAGGGAAGGTGATTCTGCTTGGGATCTTTAAGCTTCATGCAAAGACTCATTCGACTTGTGATATCGCCATTTTTGTGTGGCAGGGGAACAGTACAGCGAATTGCAACTCAAAGATTGAGCTTTGATTGTTTTTTTTACTTCTGTAAATATACTGTGTTTAATTTTATTGTTAGCATCTGTACTTTTTTTGTTTTATAAAGAGAAAGAAGCGATCTAAAGAATGGCCCCATTACTTGGTTAAAGAAGATGATTTTTTCTTCATGATCATGAGTTCGAGTCGCATCTTTGCTTATGTGATTCGTAAGTATATTTTTGGCAAGTTCTTTTAGTTCAACACGTTTAAACCTATAAGTACTTATTAGTTGAAGAGCAAATTAAGCTATAGGCTCTGTTTAGTTTGATGGAATTTTATGTGAGGAATTAAAAATAAAAATCAAGTGCCGGATTGAAATTAATTTTCATGAATGTTTTTAGTTGTCGAGATATTGATTTTTTTTTTTAAATTTGATTGATAGCAAGTTTAGCTTTTATTTTTTGGGAAGAAACATATAAGAGTCATAATAAGGGCAAATTATTTTGAACGGACATCGAACGTTGTCCAAATACCAATCAGAATGCACCACATCACCCATGTTGATACTGCAACTCGGTACTGCTGACGTGTGCATTCTAGTTGGTCTCCGAACGGTGAATTGCGTTCGACGTCCGCACAGAATAATTTCTAGGCAAATTGTTTTTGTTGGTCTCTGGACGCCGAACGCCGTCTCTAATGAGCCACGCCACTCCCGCTCGGTATCGCACTCGGTAATGCAGCCAATATTAGGACATCTCCAATGAGTTTCTCGAAAACATAAGGAAATTTCCAACCGTAATGAAAATATAAGGGCATCTCCAACCGAAAAACTCATTTTCTACATCAAAATGCAGCGAATTATCTCCAACCGAACTCCATTTTATAACATAAAAAAAAAAGAAAAATATTTTAGGTATACTCTTTCTCCAACAACAAAAAAAAGGTTAATTGAATATATATTATTAATTATAAAATAAATCGTACAAAAGATATTTCTATTTTTTAATGCCTAAAAATTATTAACATTGAGCCTCCATCAATAAAAACATTTTTGGCAAGCGCTTTTAGTGTAGCACATTTAGGTTTTATTTGTGACGGTTTTATTACTGTTTCTTAAAACAGTTTTTTGGTACAAATATTAAAATTTTTATATTAAAAAACTACTTAAAAAAATAGTAAGAAAACCTTCCCAAACGAAGCCTTAGTCTTTATTTGGGATAACTTTGTAAGTCTGTTTTTTAGTACAAAAATTTTTAAATTAAAAAAAATTTACTAAAAAATTGCTTTAAAAAACAGTATGAAAGCTGTGCCAAATAAAACCTTAATCCAATTGAGTGCTGATTAGTTGAAGAGCAAATTAAGCTATTGGCTATGTTTGTTATGTGAGGAATTAAAAAAAATAAAAAATCAAGTATCGAATTGAAATTAATTTTCATGAATTTTTTGAGTTGTGGAGATATTGATTTGTTTATTATTATTTGATTGATAGTAAGTTGAGCTTTTATTTTTTCGGAAGAAGGACATGTGTGTCATAACTCATAATAATGAATGGGCTCTTATTTTTTTAGTAAAATTGAATAGAGAATTTTTCATGAAAAAGATATGCCTGCTCATATATATATTTTATCGAAAAATTCAGTTATATTTTCATTACATTGAAATGAGACACTCAAAACAAAATTATGAACAAAATATGTTCCCAATAATTTTTTTGGTACTAAACATACCCTTAGTTTTCCAGTGTAACATAAAGCCCTTGTGAATAATATATATTCCTGCTCTCTCTGCTAGAATTTGAATTACTTTATGAAGGTTTGCTCTTTATAAGCCTAAATGATAAAAATTGAATTGAATTAGTACTAAGTAATCCTCTTTCATTTATCATGGATCAACAATAATATCAAGTTTTTATCTCACTATATGAGGTTGGCTATGTTGTGATTGGTCTAGCTTTAGATTTGTAATTCCTTAGTACATTTTATTCATTTAATTCTATTGTTCTATAAATAGAGCTGATTGTAATAGGTTTTGGATTGAAGCAGAATAAAGATTTTTGTTCTTTTTAGGTCTCTCTCATTCTTACCTCCCTCTCTGTCATCCAAGAAGCTCAAGATGCTTCTTCTTCCGCCAAGAAATTCCTACCATGGTACATGAATTCTTTTTCTCTATTATGTTATATTAAGAGTCAAAATTTTCATTTAAATCTAATAAGAATTTACCATGGATCTGGGTTGAAAAAAAAAAATTCGAGTTAAAACGGACGTAACTGCTGAATTAATGCGTCAAGTGTTGTATTACTATTCGTTTGGGATGGCTTTTTTATTGGTTTTTAAAACAGCTTTCGAGTACAAAATTTTAACTTTTGTATTAAAAAGCTGTTTTAAGAAACAGTAAAAAAGCAGTCTCAAATGAAGTCTTAATCTTAGGCTTTGTTTGAGATAACTTTCTTACTGTTTCTTAAAGCAATTTTTTAGTATAAAATTTTTAATACAGCCATCCCAAATAGAGTTTTAGTAAAAATCCAAAAAACTATTAAGAGTATGTTTGGAATGACTTCAACTTTTTATAAAGATGATCATAAATTATTGTAGAAAAAGTAATTTTTCTTTAACCGGTAGGAAAATAGCTTTCTAGCACGATTTTTTTTTTAAATCAATAAAAATATAATAGTTAAATAAAAATTATGATAAGGATAATAAAATAAAGGGATTTTTACATACATAACACTCAAAACATTTCAAATTACCTATCTAACACCTAAACTATTAGATTTACATACATACCACTTAAATCCCTGTTTTACACCTTTTATACCACTCCGTTATATCCCGTTTTATATTCCGTCTTCCCCGTTCGTTCGTGTGCTTCAGTGGCGGGAGTCTACAGTCGTTCGCGCACAATCCGTTCATCTTCGGTAGTTTTGTTCTCACCAGTACTTCTGAACATCGCTACTTCCGGTCTCGCAAGTTTCATCCATTGCGTTCATCTTCGCTACTACCGGTGCTAGTTCTGCTCTCAGCAATTTCATCCATCGCTACTTCAGTTCTGGGAAGTTTCGTCGCCTTCTCTGGTTTGTTTCGTCGCCTTCTCTTGCAAGTTTCTTCTCTAATCATGCTCTCAACAATTTCATTCTCGTTTACTGGCGCTAGAGAGTTAGCATACTGTCGTATTTCTGGCTTACTGGCGCTAGAGAGTTAGCATTCTCGTCAGTTAGCGCACAAACTTCTTCTTTTTGCATACTGTCGTATTTCTGGCTTACTGGCGCTAGTTCTGCTCTCAGCAATATTTTCACTCCAAAACATAGTGATTTCTTGTGTTTCATTTGGCTAACTGACGTATTTTTTGCTTATCACAGATTATATTTTTGCATACACAGAAATGGAATGGAGTAATTTTTACTTCATAGTCCTTAAATTTTTTGCTTATACACAGAAATGGTAATGCCAAATTATGAAGTTTTACAGATTTTTTATTGTCTTGCCATATTATATTTCTAGCAGATTTTCATTGAATATGGTTACAATGAAGTTATAGCAGTCCAGGTTACAGCATAGGCATTGCTTGTTTCGGAGTCCTTCCAGGTTACAGCATGAGCATTACACTTTCTCAAAGCATTCATTCCAGTTATTCACAAGACATAAGCAATCACGTTAAAGCAATAAAAAACACATATTACATTAAAGTAATTACATAACTTCTGAATTCTAACAATATTACAGCAATGAGTCTTTCCAGGTTACACTGCCTGAAAGTTACATTTACTCACTGATCTAATTACAGTTACATCTCCAGGCTACAATGAAATTTAGGATAAGAACTATCACCAATATAATTTTAATTTGTACAAGCTCGGCTCTAACGGAGACAACATGAGTATTGCTTGTTTCGGCAACATTTGACCTTCTTCCGTCATTCATATCATACGCCGACTCTTCAATTTCATCACACCACCGAAAAAAACGACAATCATCTTCTGATCTATTCCGGGAGCATCTGTAGAATTTTCGTCCATTACTACGTGATTTGTGTGACGTATATATTATACATTGCAAATTGCAATGGCAATATATTTGATTACTTGGGATTCTGAATGTCGTTGCCGAGGAACTAGTACTCATTGTAAAATGGATTTATGATTTGAGCTGCAATAACAGTACACCTTCAAAATGAAGAAAGAAAAGGAGCTCATTACTTAATAAAAAATTAACACTTACATAAGCTCAATAACAATACACCTTCAATAACAGTTCAACAATAGACTTCTAAACCAACAAGAACTGCACGAAGATAAATCACAACAAACAACATTCGACTTGTTACATTTATGCACAAGTACTGGAGCATATTGCCCTTGTTGACATTTCACCGAGCAACTAACTTGCATCAAAAGCACATAACTATGTCAGAACTTTCTAAAACAGAAACAAAACGTGAAAATGAATATGAAGACAAACCGAGACAGCAAGATAGGACGAAGAAAAATCCCGAGTGGACGAAAAATTGATCGTAAGTCTGTGCGTACCAAAACCCTAAAATACCTGCGGAGTCCTTCCAGGTTACAGCCGAGCGAAGAAAATTGCGAGGCGACTGCAGGGTCTCGAGCAGCCGACCGTAGAAAGAATGCGAGGCGACTGCGGGGTCTCGAGCACCCGAGCGTAGAGAGAATGCGAGCGCCGTGCGAGCGACGGCGGGGTCTCGAGCAGCCGAGCGAGCAGAAGATGTGAGGCGACTGCGGGGTCTCGAGCAGCCGAGCGTAGAGAGAATGTGAGGCGACGGCGGGGTCTGGAGCAGCCGAGCGAATAGAAGATGCGAGGCGACTGCGGGTTCTCGAGCAGCCGAGCGAATGCGGAGATGCTTATTTTGGGTGTCGCTTTAACGGGATATAACGGAGTGGTATAAAAGGTGTAAAACAGGGATTTAAGTGGTATGTATGTAAATCTAATAGTTTAGGTGTTAGATAGGTAATTTGAAATGTTTTGAGTGTTATGTATGTAAAAATCCCTAAAATAAGATATTAAAAATATTATCTCCATAGAAGTCTAAGCTCATCCT